GTGTGTGGGGGGGGGGGGGGGTTGGCAACCAGTCTATAAATTAACATTTTAAATATAAAAAGTAACATTGGCAAAAAAGTGGGGGTGGGGCTAAGCCCCTTGACCCCCCCCCCCCCCCCCCCCTCGTGCGTACAGGTACAGAGAACGAATATGAAAATGGGTTGAACAGTTGAATATGAACCATAGTTGTGAAAATTAAAAATTATTAGAATTATTAATTGTGAATTCAATAAAATTACGGTACATGTATTTTTTCACAGATGCACATGCATGTATGTCAGTTACACGGGGTTACATGAGTCTCTCTCTCTCTCTCTCTCTCTCTCTCTGATATTGTTTTTTTACAAATTTTGCAAAATAAAAAAAAAAAAAATTATAAAAATAAATACATGTACTTACACTGAAAGGATTAAAAAAAAAAATAATAACACTTGAGAAAAGAATGTTTTCCGTTAATTAACGAGAAATACGCTAGGAAATTATTGTATCAATTTCGTGTTTCTGCTCTCAATTCTCTGATCTTAAACAAAATGTGTATTTTACTCGTGAATATACATGTACATATGCTTAGATCCTACACTAAAACTTTGATTAAATGCAGCTCAGACTTTATACGACATATGTAACACGAATTCAGGTCAATGCTATTTTAATTAGTCTTTCTTCGTTACATGAGGACATGAGATTAAATTATTCATTTAGAATTCCATTCAAAGTTTTAATACTATACAGTGAATCAATTATTTTACAAATAAAAATTCTAGAAACACTGTTAATTCAAATGAAATAGGCCTTTAATTGTCACCAAATATGTTCTTGTAAGCAAAAGTTCTATGTTATGACATACAATCGAGCAAAAACACAGTTTCTTGGTATCGGTCGCGGAAGACGAACTACTGCTGTATATTCCGCAATTTCAGAGGTAAAACTGTAGATGGACACGTCATTAGTCTCCAATTTTTTTTTAGAGATACAAAGAAAATATGGCTGCAGTAGGCTAGATTAATTCGTAAAAACTTTATAACTAAAAATTTGTTCCGAACATTTTGTAAATAATGATGATCCGTCTGCAGAACATCCACTACCGAAAATAAGCTTATTAGCTTTTTTTTTAAATAGGCCTATTCGAATATGTATCACCATTTTATCAGTAATTTGTTTCTTTTTTCTTTTTTTTGTAAGAGGGGGTGGGGTGTGGGGGTCACACAGCACCTTATTATAGTACTACACAGATTAATACAAATCCAGAAAGAGACTATGAGTGGGCAATTTAAAAAAAATACGAATCAGTTAAGATTTCTTTTTATTCACAAACATAATAACATTTTTCCATATGACTGTGAGGCATAACACCATAAACATACGTCCGCGGAAGTGACTTTATTTATAGCGCATGCGTATTAAACACAGTAAAAGAGTTCCCTTCAGGGGAAATAACTCACCTTTTGAAAATGGGGAATACGAATGAACACAATTTTATGCAATGCTATACAATTATATGTATGTACATGCAACCTTAAGTATTTTCCTTTTAATTCAAAAAGCATAGAATTACCGAGTATGTAATTCTTTTGAAGCCCCCTCCCCACCCCCCTCTTGATTTTATTCGGAGACATTATTGTAACTATAGGCCTTTGAATCATAAATTCGTTATACAATTAAATCTGGAACATTTGGTTATAATTACCATTAACATGTATACAGAATTCATATTCTATAATAGTAGATTTTTCATTACGCAAGATACTGAAATTTACATGTCTGAGAGAGAGAGAGAGAGAGAGAGAGAGAGAGAGAGAGAGAGAGAGAGAGAGAGAGAGAGAGATTCCCTTTTAATCCTGATTATCCTATCCATTTACATAGACAAAAAATCAGTTCTATATCAGTTGTACCCATCATTTATTAAATATTTTCTGATTTCATAGTCCGTCATAGTCACTCTCTGTATATTTTTTCTGCTTAAGAAGTATTACCCTAAGTGCACATGTATTGACCTGTCAATCAAAATCACCGACGCTGTATGCATTGCAATAAAGTTGTTCGAAATGATTTTTATTAAGTATTATCTTTTAAGAAAATCTGATGCAACACATTTTTGAAATGAAAAATAAAAAAAAACATGGCTAGAGCACCATATATCTGTATAATGGACTTCAATTGTGGGACGTGGAGACCGGTCCCTCAGATGAGATCGTTTAAATCGAGGTCCCGTGTGTCAGATGGTACTGGCTCAAAAAGATTCCTCGCTGCTCAATGGCGATAGTACAACATTTAACAGTCTCCACCGGCGAGTGGAGGCTTTTCCGTGTGAAAAATTCTCGAGAGGGACGCTAAACAACATGTAATCGATTAATCGATTGCTGAATAATTATTGTCATTGATGAATAATATTTCCTCTGGCAAATCTCGATATTATTACTTTAAATAAAAATCAACGACTTTACGTTTCATGTGGTACTAACTTAGTTCATGACAATTCTATAACACCATCAAAATTTTGCCAGAACTTAAACACAGTGAAGTTTTTGAAAGCACGGTGTTCGTTCGTCTGTTGGTTTGTCTGTGATAGACGTGTAGCTCTTATGAGTGCCAAAATGCATCAGAACAAGATTGATCATGAAAATCAAAGTACCTTAAGTACTGAAAGACCTTTTTGCATTTTTTTCTTTCAGAGTACATATGATATCTATGTTTGTTGCAGAGGAAAAGCGAATTCCTTACAGATTTAGAAGAACGGAAGACTTATTTGTTGCCATGGCAACAAGATTCTAGTTTATTATTAAGGTCTTCCGTCTTCACGGAAGACCTTATAGTTATTCTACTGTTTCTTATTATTTTTCTTATTTTTTTTCCAAAATTTTGTGCACACGATTTCTCAGCAACCATTCAATGGATTTCAATGAAATTTTCAGAAATTATGTGCATCATTATGAACTTGATACATCTGGGAGGAAATTTGATAATTCGCTTTTGGTGCCAAGTTATGGCCAGTTTCCTGATTTTAAAATGCGATTTTGTCGCGCACTTTTATCGAAAATGGCTGAGAATATGAACTGGAGACTTATCTAAGAGCATAGGGCATGGTTATTAGATGTGCGTAAGCCACATTTCCTGCGTCGTCGGTGCTTCCGGTCGCTACCGGAAGCGAATTCAAAAAGTGCATTTTTTCATTTTTTTTGTTTTAAAATGTTTTTCTAAGATTTTAATTATCTTAAAAGTGACTCTTATGCGAATGAGAAATATGTAATTTGTTTAAGAATTGACAAGGGCAATCTCGAGATATTTGCATTTAAATATTTGAAGCGGTGTTTTCAATGGCTGAATATGTAGCGCATTGGATCGTCACACGGGCGACCCGGGTTCGCTCCCACGAATATCCGATTTTTTTTTATCACTTTTTCATCTCGATTTTCGGTGTTTTAAATTCAGAATCGGACGGAAGACCTCTCGTTGCTCGCAACGAGATCGTTTCTAGTTATTATTCTTATTTTTCTTCCTGGGAAATTTTTGTCCGCGAGTGATCTTGTAAACTACACATCAGACTAAGGTGAAATGTTTTTAGGGTCAGTAGACATGTAATGTAGATTTGCGGAACGAAGGTCATTTTGCGCGCACGTGCTTGCAAGAGCGCGCACGTGCAACATGATAAATGACCGATTACATTGATATAGATGTAACTTTTGAAATTTTTGATGAAATGCTTTGGAACTCATAATATAAGGATACATTAGAAGTATAGACAATATGACATGGTCAAAATAGCAAGATCTCACGCGCATGCACGTGCGCTGCACTCTGATTGGCTGAAACAAAAATCTCAATATCTTTTTTGTCTTTTGACGAAATGCTTTGAAATTTTGATTATAGCCATGCATTAGGATATCCTACTATATGATATATAGCAATTATCATGAAAACACGTGCATGCACGTGCGCTGCAATCTGATTGGCTTAAACTTTAAATAGCTATAACTCATTTGGATTTCAACCAAAGACGAGGGGATTTGAAATATAGATAGATATTATGAACTACTACAAGAAGGTATGGTCACCATGCACATGGATACACGTGCATGTACGTGCGCTGCAATCTGATTGGCTGAAACTTTAAACAGCTATAACTCCTTTGGTTTCCAACCAAACAGGATGGGATTTGGAACATAGATAGATATAATGGACTACTACAAGAAAGGTATGGTCACCATGCACATGCGCACGTGCGTGTACGTGCGCTGCAATCTAATTGGCTGAAACTTTTAACAGGTATAACGCCCTTGGTTTTTCAACCATATGGGGTGGGATTTAGAACATAGATAGATGTAATGACCTTCTACAAGAAGGTATGGTCACCGTGCTCATGTATGCACGTGCGTGCACGTGAAATGAACAAAATCAAAAATACACTTGAATGAGCGTATTTTTATTACGTATGCAATGCTAAAATTTGAATGAACTTCGTACACTTCCAGGTAAATGTTAAAGTCTCAAAAACATAGAGTTTGTCTTATTTAATGAAGCTTACAGGTAATATGGCATAAAAAGAGAGTTGGGGAGCGTTTGGGGAACATCTGTAACGGTCCCCGTTACAATTAGCACTAGTTTCTGCTGGGATTATTTCTCTCTCGGGAAAACGTCGTTTTCAGATATAAATTTTAGAAATATTTCATTTAAAGTTTTTGAATAAAATGGACAATATTATCTGGAACACCCAAAACAAATTTGTTTGGTCATAAACCTTTATCAAGGTAAAATAATAGGAGATATAATTTTTTGCAAACAATTTAACCATGGGCAGAATACACAGAAAGTTAATCCCAGTTCTGTTTTCGATTAATAATTTCTTGTTCAACGTTATCGTTTATATGATACAAATTATATAATACAATTAAACAAGATTTGTAAACTAATCAGTGAATAAAATGTATAGAAACGTTTTAAGCAAAATACAGTGATTCATAGTCAATATTTATATTTATTTATTTTCATCTGATGTTTTATAGGTATTGGATGCTGATTTTTCTCCTTCTTCAACCTTCAAACTCATTTATTATAAGTGGTAAGTACATTATGCAATGTAAACTTACTATAACCAGTTTTGTTTTTAAATAAAATGCAATAGATGAAAACAGTTACATGACTAAGTGGAATAAAATCTTTTTAAGGCCTGTGAAGTTTTGTTATGAAAACATCATTTTTTCTTAGTAAAATATGCAAATTGACAGGGTTTTTTTTGCGATGAAATAAAATTTCGATAAATCTAAGTCTACTTACACACGGGTATTCAATGAAATGTATGAAGATTACAAATGGTAATAAAACTCAAAAATCAATTTTACACAGGAGCAGAACAAACACAAATCTGTAAAACATAAGAGGTGAGATCAGGTGCCATGGAGGACTTAGCATCTCCTTCCGACCGGACACATTCGCCGTATGCTCCTTGTTATGATCGGGAAAAATGAAAAGAATTCAGTGTGTAAATAATGTCCTCACAATTAGTATGCAAAACATCAGTCAGTATTTTATTTAATGAAATATTGTATTTGATGACAAGGTCATTGTATCGACTGTAGAACTTATGAAATGATGACTTTAAACGAGGCTGTTGGTAATTTTGTTTCTTACATGTGTTTTTCAACAACTTACCTATAGTATCATAAATTGTTCATTTGTAATGCATGTTCTCGCGTATCAAATCAAATGAGAGATAAAAATTCAGTATGAAAGTGATGCAATCATGTATTAATTAGTATGTTGCTGCATAAGTAAGGTAAGTAAGGGAAGTTGATGATTGAAAAGTTAGTCACCACGTTTGTCATAAATGTTTGATGTAAAATGACCATTAACGTCGTTTTCAAGTAAAGGCCCTTTCACAATTGGCGCACGAGCAGAAGCGACAAAATATTCGTGCGACTGAATAATTTTGTTTTGGATCGTAAACTGTTGCCAAAATAATCGCATATGAAAAAAGTGTTCGTACGAAATTCTCACGATCTAAAGCGACTGTTGTGCATTAAATCTTGCGATACATCTTACGTCTATATGGGACTGTTGTAGAATGAAAGCGAGTGTTGTAAGATAATGCGATAGGATTGTACGACTGATCAGGTAATCGAACGATTGAACGTGCGACAATACGATTGAATGTGCAGTGCTCGTGCGCTCATGCATTCCGTAGTACGAATGTTCGTGCGAGTCAGAGGGCCGGATATATATACCACCCGTTTCCGACGCTCTTCAGTTGACATAGTTAAGATGCTTATAATTATACACGGTATATATACCTGTTGCAAAGAATGGCAATTGAAGGTGATAAATCAAGCAATGATAGTAAAACGTTGCAAGATTACATGAGACATGTTGAGCAACAGTCCCATGGTCGCAAAACACACGCAAAGACAGCTGCGATTCATCTTACGACCTTTAAAAATCGTGCATCACTCTTACGAGTACATAAAACGTTGTAAGACACATGCAATGAATGCGAGACATCGTGTAACGTATGCGAGAGCTCGTGCGAAGCTAAAATTTTCCGATCGCAAAGTGTTGTAAAGTGCTCGTGCGCCAATTGTGAAAGGGCTTTTACGAGTACATAAAACGTTGTAAGACGTTCGTACTAATTTTCGTGCGTTGAATTGCGATAATTTGGATCGCATTTGGTCGCGTCTGAATAGTGTGCATGTTGACTATGTTGAGGAGACTTGATGCGACCACTAAAACACATGCAATGAATGCGAGACATCGTGCAACGTATGCGAGAGCTCGTGCGAAGCTAAAATTTTCCGATCGCAAAGTGTTGTAAAGTGCTCGTGCGCCAATTGTGAAAGGGCCTTTACGAGTACATAAAACGTTGTAAGACGTTCGTACTAATTTTCGTGCGTTGAATTGCGATAATTTGGATCGCATTTGGTCGCGTCTGAATAGTGTGCATGTTGACTATTTTGAGGAGACTTGATGCGACCACTAAAACACATGCAATGAATGCGAGACATCGTGCAACGTATGCGAGAGCTCGTGCGAAGCTAAAATTTTCCGATCGCAAAGTGTTGTAAAGTGCTCGTGCGCCAATTGTGAAAGGGCCTTAAAATACTGAGTACCAAAATTAATATGAAAACAGATGTGTCAGATTTTGTGGTATTTTATTTCAATCACAATGGGATACTATCGTACATCGTGTTGACATATGAATGACAATTTCTATTGTTAATTGATAATAGTACCATCGATATTTAAAAATGTTGATGTGGATGCAACAGCAAGTGATTTTTCTCATACTTTTGAATAAATTCTGCTTCACATGAATACATAAAATAGGTCTGCTAACAACAGCACAATTCGCACCCTTGGGAATTCCAACAGACTGTTGGAAGAATTTGCATCCAAAACCACATATTAAAGATTGTCAATCATATATTCTTAATAGTAACCTCAGAGTACTTGTGTGTACAATCAGTGTGTGTTTGTTAATAAAATAATTTCGCAAATGACCAATGAAAAGGTAAGTAAATTCACAAAAAAACAGTTTGATTGAAAAATCAACTGTCTCTAAAATTCTAAATTGAATTCAAATCATTTCATAAAGGTATATACCGGGGTATATAGGAATTTTTTTATTTGGTTGCGCACGCTAGGCAAGAAATGTTCCATAGAACCTGTCTGATTCTATTATTTTAGAATCTAACAACAATAAACCAACTTCCTAAAATATGTTACAACAGATATGTATTTACGTAACGATCAATTTTAATTAGTATTCTTGTATTTTATATAGATCTCCACACTTCTAGCTGTCCGCATTACACCACAGTTTCCTCTTTCCTGAGCCACATTGGGGTCAATATTCATACATCCGGGACATTTGGTGTTAGTGACCTAGATGTGACACACGACCCTAAGAGATCATCATGCACCGTGCTTAAGGTAAAACATTATCAATATCTATATACCGTAAGATACTCTTTCGATAAGTGTATGCATTATACTGGAATAGGATACTAAACAACAAAAATCAATATGTACTATCCACTGTCAAGACTCTGCATAATTCGTTCAAGAAACTGGACGGCAAATGCAAACTTATAGTAGTCTTAAATACTTATGTTTTATCTTAGAAAAAAACCTCTGTTTTGCACTATAAATACGACATCAGCTCGGGCATTCGTATCAACATGTAACTCATTATGTCTAGAATTAACTAGTCAATTGTCTAAAACCTTGTAATCGTCATATAATTTTGTCTCTACTGTTGTAACAAGAGTTAAAAATTACCGGTATGTTTTCCAAGTGAATTGATTGAATCTTCAAATGATCTTCTCACAGGCAAATTACGCCAAAGGAAGCCACTCACATACGCGTGATAGAACGAGAGGAGCACAATTCTTTATCACGCCATCTGGCTATCCAAATGGTGCCACTGACGTCACTTTGAGCTATGACGTATACTTTCCGAGTTCATTTTCATGGGTGAAGGGCGGGAAACTTCCCGGTACTTATGGTCACAGCACCCATTGCTCTGGAGGACGGGATTCAAATCACTGCATATCCACCCGGTTTATGTGGCGAGCTAACGGTGCAGCGGAATTGTATTTATATTTCCCCAAAAGCTCGCAGCCAAATTTCGATACTTGGGCTAAACACCAGAACGCAGAAATCGTAACAAATGACAATTATGGGGTTTCCATACGCTCTCCAAATTTTGTCTTACATCATAACCAGTGGATAAATTTGAAACAACAAATCCACCTTAATTCAGTCCGCAGTAGTGGCCACGGAAATGCAGATGGGTGGATCAAGGTTTTTGTAAATCATGCGTCTAGTCCTGTCATGTCAATTCAAGATGTTGTTTTACGGAAATACGATGACGTCAGAATTGATGGCATCTTCTTCTCTACCTTCTTTGGCGGCCATGATGACTCGTGGGCGTCAGCGCACGATACCTATACTTTGTACAAAAATTTCCAGATTTCTGTGGGTCACCATTAAATCTAAATACAATAAAGTAGGTTTAAAATTATTCTATTCAAGATGTGAATGTGATCGGTGTTTATCATTTTATCAAGTAATCATCTCTGATTTTGATGCACATTTGTCATCGTTTTGAACAAGCCATGCGCGAATCATGTGATTTAGGTAGTCACATGACATTTCCCAAAGCGTTTTCACAGAAGCTAAAGATTTGATTGATTGATTGTATACTGTTTAACGTCCCTCTCCAGAATATTTCACTGATATGGAGACGTCACCATTGCCGATGAAGGGCTGCAAATTTAGGCCTATGCTCGGCACTTACGGCCTTTGAGCAGGGAGGGATCTTTATCGTGCCACACCTGCTGTGACACGGGGCCTCGGTTTATACGGTCTCATCCGACGGACCGCCCCATTTAGTCGCCTTTTACGACAAGCAAGGGGGTACTGAGGACCTATTCTAACCCGGATCCCCACGGGATTTGTCCGGGTCTTATTACCATGCAAGTCTTTTTTTTTCTTCTTCTTTCTTTAGAATAGTCCAATTATCACAAATGGTCCAATCTCGGCTATAAGATGAGTGGATAATGAATTTTTAGAATGAGCATTGTGGCTATCAAAATCCAACTTCTCTATCTTGTTTACGTCGCTTTTTTATTGTGATTAAATTTTAACTGTCTTGAGTGTTCAAGTATGACAAAAGTATGACAAAGTCGAACCTTTTTGTCACAAGTCATCTACATAATGACGTCAGTTTCACATTGTGACTTCACAAACATCGAGCAAAACATTACATAGCATCTGCTTTTTATAGAACATGGTTATGGCTAAATGTGTGCCAAATTTCATTTTGGTTTATCGAAGTTTTTTTCTTTTTATCTTCATTCAGGTATAACAAAATTGAAATATTCTACTGATAAATTAATAGAGGTGAAAAAAGTAAAGTAGGAACAGCACGTTTTCAAATATACAATAATGGAAACAAGAGTCAATATATAGGGGCTATATTTCTTTTTATCTATTTCAAAACAAGCAATGAATGTAATAAATCATGAAAGAATGTGGCAAGAGGAAGGATCATTCTGGAAATATGACGTCATTACCTCGATGCTTTTTAAACTAATAAAAACCTCACAAGAGTCATGTTCCTTAACAAAATCACGTCCACATCCGTCACCCGCTTCAGTTTTGTGATATTTTGTGAAATTATTTGAAAAATTACATTTCTTAAAAATCTTTTATCTGAAAGATACTTAGGCAACGCCGATCTTTCAGCAGGTGTCAAACTTTTATTACTATTATGAATCATGTGGAAAATTATGCCAAGCGATAGGCCAAGTATGTACATGAAGACATTGACACTTTTTCAGAATGGATTTAAAGTTACATAGGCATGTTAAAATCTCGCATTAGGCGATTAATTGACGGGTAAAGCATCTTTCGCTTTGCCTTCAATAATTCAGAAGTGAAAAAAGAGAATGAAAAAGATTACACGGCCAGTATGTACTAGCCTTAGATGACAAAAAAGAGAAACAATATTTCCTTTAATTGAAAGGCTATTTTTTCAATTGTATTTTGAGAAACTTAATTTAATTCTAGTATTTATAAATCCAACTTATTCTCATAGTTCCCATTCTAAGAAGATTTTTAAAAAATAAATTCTCAGAATTAAATATTTTTAATATTCTCAACAATCAAAATGAATTTGAATTAACATACTACCGGTAGTATCTATGCTGGATACTAGAAAAGGACCTGAAACTGGTAATGTAACAACAAAGCTCTATGGTTAACACGAAGACATAAGCTTTATAATAATCAACTTGCTCGCGTTGCGCAGTGGTTAAAGCGTCTGCTCTAGAGTCGCAAAGTTAAGAGTTGATCTTAACGTTGCGAGTTCGAAATTCCCACTCTGGGACGTGTGGACCGGTCCTTCGAATGAGACCGCATAAACCGATTGTCCGTGTCCATTAGGTGCTGGCACAACAAGACCCCTCACTGCATAATGGCTGTAAGTGCCAAGTATAGGCCAGAAATTTGCAGCTCTCCAATGGCAAGTAATGACATCTTCATATAAGTGAAGAATTCTCGAAAGGGACGATGAACAACATACAATCAATCAATTCTTTCTTTTGTAGCAATACATCCGTATCATCTGCATTTGAGATTTATGTCTTTCAGTTGATTCAATATCCAAGAGTATGCAGTTTTTAGTTCTACTGTAGAGACCGGACGAGCTTATGCGATGGTAAGATGTCCATCGTTCGTCCATCTGTCTGTCTGTAAACAATTTTTCAAAAATGCTTCTTCTAGAGTTTTGGTCTGATTTAAATATAACTTGGCACACAAGTAGACTACGCTAAGATACATAATTCTGTGAATGGGATTTTGATTTCGATGTCCGGTGGTTGCAAAGTTACTTAAAATAGAAATGTTTATGAAATACTTGTAAAATGGTAATCTACCTGCAGTTTTGATCTGATTTTAATATACACTTCGGCATGCAAGTAGACTACGCTGAGATACATACTTGGCTTCATTGTTTGTTTGATTTTGATGAATGGTGTTGCCATGGTAACTAAAATTGAAATTTCTCTAAAATTCTTTTGTAAGGCTACACACATACATTTGTATTCTTTTTGCAATCTTTCCACAAAAAGAGACAACATCAAGAATCATTATTTTATTCATGATGTTGTAAAGTTTCAAGTCTAACTGATACTTTCTGTTCCTTTATTATAAGACTTAGTACAAATCTGTAGAGCTCAATTTCTCATCAGAGACTTCTGGTTTCTCAATCAAGGTAAGCTACTGAGAAACAAGCTGATGAAATTAGAATATCAACAGTCCTGATAAAAGACATTATTTCGCAGCAATTTCTATGACCATGTCAGGAAAAACAATGTATCTCAAAGTCGAATGACAGCACACTGCGGGTTTGACCGACCTCCATGGCACCTGGACCCACCTCAAATGTTTTGATGATCTGTGTTTGCTCAGCTCTCAATCTAAATAGCTAAAGTATAAGTCACATTATCCAGCGATGGGGTATACGATGAGAAACCGATGCGTTTTTTGATGAAAATGGCGTGGTTGCCGACCGGGCACCACTAGTGATCGGAAGGTGACTGAGGTCATTTTGCGAATCGGTGGGGTCGTCGGTAGGAAATAATTCGTAGTTAAAATTTAGCGATGTCTCCAACGATGCCTCACATCGCTCCTCATCGGCAACCCATCATAAAAACACCTTTTACGGATCGGCCGATGTATGGCCGAGCATCGTCCAATATCCGTTGAATCTGAGGTCATCGGGGGGTTGAGTGGTGTTCAACAGATAACGGCCGATCATCGGTCGATGTTCGACCAAACATTGGCCCGTAGTCAACCGATGTTCGAACGATCTTCACCAATGTATGAGCGATGTAATATACATCGGCCGATTATCCTGGAACATCGTTTTATAATTAGCAATGCTTCGCTGGGCCTTTGAAAGTCCGGCCGGCAACCACGCCATTTTTATCATAAAAGGCATTGGTTGCCCATCGAATACCCATCTCTGGATAATGTGACTGATTCTGTAAGGACTACTAGGCCGATGTGGACCGATGTTAGGGCATCGTTAACACCACGGATTACCACCTATTACCACCGGTCTACGGCTACCGGCCGGGAAATGTGACCTAGGCATAAAATAGACTTTTGAGTTGATTACATGTACTGTTTTTCTTCATATTTCATGTCATATTGCATGCTTAAATTTTATACTTCATAGGAGAAAGGCTGCATTTATTACATTTTGATATACTTTCTAAAAAATAGATGGAAAAATAAAAATAATTAAATTTATACCATGATAGAGTTTCATACTGCAGATTACGAAGTACATGTATTACTGAATATCAGATGAATTACATGTAAGAGTACTGACTTGAAGTTTGTTTCAGTTGGAAATAAATTTCGAGATCGAGAGAGAGAGAAAGAGAGAGAGAGCTTTTACCTAAATGGCATTATTTTTGTAACTTCTAGACCAGCTGTCTCCATTTCTGATAGAACACCTGTCAAATAACTACCTATTTATATGATAGATATAATATAAATAGAATAAACTTTGTTAATTAATCACACGAATCCTAGGAATATAATGTAAGTGTTTGATTTCATTATTGAATTATAATTATTTTTTAATAAGTTTTAATGTTTGTTCAACGTTAAATTGATTTAATTTACTTTATAATCTTAACATTATAGGTGTTTCTGTGCTCAGTAATTTTACGTAAGAAGAAATTGTATTCAAATTTTTAAAGGAAATTAATATATTATAAGGGGAAAAAAAAGTTTTCATTGCTTTCTCATTTAATTTTAATTGTTTCATTAAGGAATGACTCTAATTCTTGGCCAGATTATCGAGTATAATATGGTTTGGGTCAGTTTACGCTTTATTATCCGCGAAGCGGCTTATAAAAAAGCGTAAACTGAACCAAACCATATTATACTCGATAATCTGGCCAAGAATTAGAGTCATTCCTTATGATTTAATTTTAAAATAATTAAACAACTGGGGATGTAAAATTGTGTTGTTTTTATTAGTTCAAATTTACCGCGCAATAATACAACCGTAGTAACGGAAGTGATGGGAAGCAAGGGGAGGTAAAAACTGATACATAGATCTAGCAGCCATGATGCTTGTTTACATGAGGTAAGATCGAGCAACTGTTTGAAATTAAAGGTACATTCATTAAATCTGGAATTTTTCATGAATCCGAAGGACTGGAAATGAGGGGATTGATGGATACAGATGATTCAGCTGGTTGTCAAGGGGGTGTGTCCCCATACCAAACCAGATTATACAAAATGTTATGCGTTCCTTTTTGGAAATCAACCAATGAGAGACAAGAATACAAACAGAATTAAATTATTGTTGTTTAACGCCAAATTCGAGAATTTCTTATTCAATAGAAAACGTCACTGTATGCCGCTGAAGGCTAAAAATTCTGACATATCTCGCATTCAGGTCCATTGAGCAGTGACGGCTCTTTATCGTGTCAAGGCCCACCATAA